GCTTTGATTAAGCAGTTTATAAATTCCAGAACTAGACAAAGTACCCAATCAGTCACTGTACTCTGCACATGAGAGCTTCCTGCAGCTACCATCTTATCAGGATCTCATTTCTGCAGACTATACGGATTAGGCTTTTAGTGATGTGATATCTACCCTTAGAAATTCCCTCCCATTAAATATTAGACAGGCACCCTATCTGTTGTCTTTTCTGAGCCTACTGAAAAACCTTCCTCTTCCAACAAGCCTTTCAAGTAGATTTCATTCCAGTTTACATCAGCCTTAGAATCGTTTTCAGATGTTTTTGTTTTTAGATAGTTTCACTGTTTCTTGCTTGTGTGTTTGCCTCCCTCGAGAACTTTGGGATGAAGGGAAATGAAATTGAATAATAACAATAATACTCCCGATGTGGCCTGATCAATGCAGAAAAAAGTGGAGCCATCCCTTTTATCACCAAGTTGCCAAAGATTGTCCCTGAACCATCTGCATGCAAAATGTGTTTCCTGCCATTGCGCTATCATCTGCTGCAGATTGTTTGAAGAGCCAGATTGCAAGATATTTCTTCACTGGTCTAGCCCATGCGCACGGAGAAACATAGAATTGTAGAGTTGAAAGGGACCCCAAGGGTGTTCTAGTCCCTTCTGCAATGCAGGAATCTCAGCTGAAGCATCCATGACAGGTGGCCATCCAACCTCTGCTTAGAAACTTACAATGAAGGAGAGACCACAACCTCCCGAAGGAGAGACCACAACCTCAAACAGCTTTTACTGCCAGAAAGTTCTTCCTGGTGTTTAGTCGGAATCTCCCTTCTTGTAACTTGAAGCCATTGGTTCGGTTCCTACCCTCCAGAGTAAGCTTCATGGCTGAGTGTGGCTTTTAACCCTGGTCTCTTGGGCCCTAGTTTTGCACTGTGTCCATTGTACTACACTGGCTCTCTACATATGCCAGTGGAGTTCACTGTAGCTACACCAGTGTGGTGTAGTGGTTAAGAGCGGTAGTCTCGTAATCTGGGGAACCGGGTTCGCTTCCCCGCTCCTCCACATGCAGCTGCTGGGGTGACCTTGGGCTAGTCACACTTCTCTGAAGTCTCTCAGCCTCACTCACCTCATAGAGTGTTTGTTGTGGGGGAGGAAGGGAAAGGAAAATGTTAGCCGCTTTGAGACTCCTTTGGGTAGTGATAAAGCGGGATATCAAATGCAAACTCTTTTTTTCTTCAGTTCCTTTATAATACCCTCTCTCTCTGTATCTCAATCTCACACACATCCTCTACATTACCAATGCATGTGCATCAATATTCCTTTTTTGTTTGCCCAGCGTGGTGGTTGTTTTCCACCAATGTGCAGGACTGTATGTGTATATCCCTGTTGCATAAAAGAATCCCGATGCAATTGTATGCATACTTCCCTGAAGAGTGCCTCCTTTTCCCTTTCTGTTTTTGCAGTGTTTTATTCATGTGGAAATATGAACTGGTGACATAGATTGGGATGGGAGGGATGCAAATGCGCTAGAGAAACTGTAAGCTGAGATAAACTCTGAATGCTCCAGTTCTGATATTTATTTTAGAAGTTCTCCTAGATAAACTGGAATACAGTACATGAGGAATGTTAACACACAGCCCCAGCCTGAACATCAGTCTCTGCATCAAGATTTCAGTGTGTGATGCTTTTCTCTGAGCTCGTGAAAGATAATATATGTTCATTTTAAGTTTCATAGTTTAATAGCTGTGGGAGGGGGGAAACGTACTTCCAAATAGCCAGGAAGTGTCCATGACAGAGCAGAACTTATTAAATATTCTCAGTAGAAAGTGAAATATATCAAGCAGTTCATGAGCCTTAATTGTGATTACACTTTATTGCTGCTTAGACGATTAAGTACTTAAATTAGCAGGTAACAGGATCTATACTCTTAATAGCATCAGAGCTAATCATGACTTCACTCTGTATTTCAGCCCAGTTCCAACAATCTCCTGGAGGAAAGTGAATGGCCCCAATCCAAGCAAAGCCCGCCTGCGGAAGTCCCAAGCGCTTCTTGAAATTCCAAATGTGCAGCTGGAAGATGCAGGGACATATGAATGTAAGGCCGAAAACTCACGTGGAAGGAATGTCTTCAGAGGACAGCTGCAAGTATACAGTATGTTGTTGTTGTTGTTGTTGATCATTTTGCTTAATACCAAAATAAGCTTCTAAGCAGCTTACAGGTGTAAATAACACAATTACACAAACATCAAAATAGAAACATCGCACAATTAAAATTCACAATAAGACAATTCCATTAAAACATTAAAATATAAACATGTTATTATTAAAATATGCAATAATCCAATTAAAACAAGACACTATTTCAAACAGGAAACAGGCCTTCAGAAGCCGGCAGAATGCCAATGCAGATGGGCTATTACATATTTCAGCAGAAGTTAAGACTGAACAATCTCACCATATGCACGAAGTTTATCTTATGAATATAGCAAAATTGTTCTGTCTTAACTTCTGGCTGCAAAATCAGTGACTAGTCAGAAACCAAATGTACGAGACTGTCCCTACTAATGTGTAAGTCCAACTGAGTTCATTGAAGCTTTCTGCAATCTGATCAGGAGGAGGTCTGCACAGAGCTAGTTTCAATCATCTGTGCCCTCAGTAGGGCACAGTTCACTCTCCTAATTTATTGCACAAATCTTACAAGGAGGTTACACCATGAGTAATATCCGGCTAATATTTACTCAGAATAGACTAATGGTCATGAGTAATTTAGGCCCAATGGGTCTACTTTGACTTAAAATTAGTTGGACACAACCACATGTCTAGTCTTTATTTGTTTGCTGGGAGGACATGCAACAGCAAGCATCTATCCTGAATTCCCCCTTATTTGCTTGTGCGGTGCTTATACATCTTTCTGTTAACCATTTGTTAATCCCACAGTATTCAGGGCATTTCCCCATCTCTTTTCTATCTATGAAAATGTGTTGTGTTTTTTAAGTGGATATGTTGCACCAAGGCAATAGAGCATTTTAATCCATTTTATGTGCACATACTTCAGTTTCCAGTATGTGCCCGAATCTCTCCTCCAAAATCTTAAGGACCTGGAAATGACTTTGGATTGCATGTTTTCTTACGGCTCTCTTATTACATACAGTGACCTTATTAAATATATTGAATGACCCCGAGAGATTTTTTTTTATAGATGCATTATAAGTGCCAGAAACAAATGAATTAGCAGTATTATTGCTCCATCCCTAATATTCTCACCCCACCCATAATTTACATGGCTAAATCAGATAACGATAGTTTTGACCATTGCTTTTGAGTGCACTAACCTTATTTTCAGAGAATTATGGGTTTTTTAGCTTCAGAAACAAGCCTTAGCTATAAGAACCTGGCATCGCTACAGGTTCCTTCCTATAGGTTCGCAGACTTACAGTTAAACAACCATCTTTTACACACCATCCCTTGAAGAGCTTCAGACAAGGTATTGGGATTAAACCTGTCATTCTGGGGAATGCTCTGATTTGCAATTCATCCTTAGGTACTAGCTTTCCTGTCTGCCTTAATCATGCTCAGTTTGTCAGTTGAATTTGATCCAGTTCACCATGGATGCTTTGGGGAATGCCCAAGAATGCACAGAGTCAGCCTGTCTGCTCTCATGCAATCACAGGCCGATTTGATTCCCAGCTTACCCAATGCTGACAACCAGATGTACCATGATTGCCTGATACAGCTGACACTCTGGAAACAATCACTGCTTCTGTCTCGGCCACTTGGCTTGACGTCCAGCCCTGCAAGTGACAGAAGACACTTCATGTTCGATTTGGCAAGGCCCAAGATGCTTCGCAGGTTTCTCATTTTCTGGGTTATTTTTCTCCTCTTTAAAAAACTGTGTTTTACTCCTCCCATGTCATTTTAATCACTTGCACTTTGTCGTGAACTTGTTGCTGTTGCTCAGCCCAGCATTCTAGTTGATTTCATGGCCTGCTCAGGGTGCCTCTCAAAGTTTAGGTCCCTGGGGAATCACTTCCACATTGACCTTTCTGCTGAGGAATGCCTGAGTGTGTCAGAAGAGACTGGTTTAAGGACACACAACTCACCTCATGCAGGCTGTTGACCCATCTTGCTGGACCTCCCCATGGCCTCATCTGAACTGTTCACAGCCTAGAATGGTAGAAGCCAAAGTGGCACTCTGGTCTAAACCACTGAGCCTCTTGGGCTTGCCAATCAGAAGGTCGGCGGTTCGAATCCCCATAACGGGGTGAGCTCCCATTGCTCTGTCCCAGCTCCTGCTAACCTAACAGTTCAAAAGCACGCCAGTGCAAGTAGATAAATACGTACCACTGTGGCGGGAAGGTAAATGGTGTTTGCGTGCACTCTGGCTTCCATCACGGTGTTCTGTTGCACCAGTAGCGGTTTAATCATGCTGGCCACATGATCCAGAAAACTGTCTGTGGACAAACGCCAGCTTCCTCAGCCTGAAGCGAGATGAGCGCCACAACCCCATAGATGCCTTTGACTGGACTTAACCATCCAGGGGTCCTTTACCTTTTCCCTTCATATGTTACCAGACTACAACTCCCATTATGCCAGACCACTGGCTGGGGCTACAGTGGTGGAAAAGAGCAAAATAGAAAGAATTTGGGGGAAAGAGCAAAATAGAAAGAATTCAATTTTAAATTCATTTCTCCACATTTACGAACCAACTTACAAATTATTATTTTTTTAAATAAGAATATTTATTTGCTCTTTAGTTAGTTAGTTTTTTTCTAGGATACACATTTTGTGTGCATTTTTGCCTGGATATGCAAAGTACTCTTCCTGGATACTTTTTCTTTTATGTTATTCTTATTAACATATGCATTTAGATGCATGTCTTGTACATATTATTTGGTTGGCGAGTTGCACTGCAGAATTCAAAAAAGTACAAATTTCAAAGGATAGCTGTGTTCTAGTCCACATAGAATCATAGAGTTGGGACCACAAGGTTCATCTAGTCCAACCCCCTGAAATGCAGGAATCCTTTGCCCAACATGGGGCTGGAACCCACAACCCTGATATTAAGAGTCTCACACTCTACCAACTGAGCTATCCAGATATTGTTTTGGATACTGTGAGAACTGAGTTGAATTTCTCCTCTGTCCCTAGCTGAGGGTGATGGAAGTTGGAGTCCATCCACCTTTGCAGGGCCATGGCCTTTCCATCACTGCCCCGCGTTGTTTCTTGCAAATTCATCAATATATATACACTGAGAGAAAAGAAACTTTAAACATGCATTTATATAATTTGAGGGGATCTTTATATATATATATAAAGGGATGCGGGTGTCACTGTGGTCTAAACCACAGAACCTAGGGCCTGCCCTGATCAGAAGGTCAGCGGTTCGAATCCCTGTGACGGGGTGAGCTCCCGTTGCTCGGTCCCTGCTCCTGCCAACCTAGCAGTTTGAAAGCACGTCAAAGTGCAAGTAGATAAATAGGTACCGCTCTGGCGGGAAAGTAAACGGTGTTTCCATGTGCTGCTCTGGTTTGCCAGAAGCGGCTTAGTCATGCTGGCCACATGACCCGGAAGCTGTCTGCGGACAAACACCAGCTCCCTCGGCCTATAGAGCGAGATGAGCACCGCAACCCCAGAGTCGTAAGCGACTGGACCTAATAGTCAGGGGTACCTTTACCTTTTATATATATATTAATAAACCTACTATTAATGCAGAAACCATGGATTGGAATTATGGTTAGAAGTATGAACCAGAAATAGATCCATCCATCCTCACTTCCAGGGAACTGCAGTAAGCAATCTTGAGATTAGTGAGACATCAATCCAAACGGGGAAAGGAGTGCAATAACTTTATATAATTGTAATGTTCCTATTCAATCCCCTGCCCCCATGGACCAGAATGATTGCATTTATTCTTTGGCTGCAGATGCATAAACGAGAGTTGCAAGATCCTTATGTCCTAGAAATAAGAGTTGTCAGGACATGTTTCTACTCGTGCATGATTCTGAAACCTGGACTAGGGGACAGTGTTTTGTGCGGGACTGCAGAACCAGGGGCACACTTTTGCTCTAAAATACAGTCTCTGAGTCCTTTTAAACTGTGTTATGTTGTATTACTTCAAACTGTGTGTTTCTGTATTATTATTATTTTAAATAGTACCAACAGCATTTTAGTAATTACATACCAGCAAAACACCCCAGACCCGAACATCTTATCAGTGCAAGCTTAATGTTCTAATTAAAGTGAACAATTGGCTGACTTGGTTAGTCTCATTAATTTTTCCTTTCTCATAAATGGCCAACGATGCCCATTTATCACAAGGAGGGTCTTTGCTTGAGCTGCTTTCTGTTAGTCACATATAAAAATAGTTTAATTTTTGCAATTTGCCATAATTATGTTAACAATTACTCTATTGTAGGAATCCTTTTCCCTTCCCGTTATTTGCCTAGTATTCTTTTCACCAAAAGTAAGGTAACATTGATCACCCCTCTTTGATAGTTTGACCCCACTTGCTTGAATTACATTTTTAAAATGGACTTAACCATTAGAAATAAACTTCGATCATCCTCAACAACAGAATATCCTCTTCACTTCATCAGACAAACCTGAATGCTTTAAAGTGTTAACCAAGAGCATAGGGCACTAGAAAGGCACATGCAATCTATCACTTTCCAGCAGTTTACTATTTGGAGGTAGCCTTCTCGTTCCATCCTAATTGAGTTATTATTTTCTGAAGAAGCTCCTTGATAAAAAGGATTGTAATTTAGTGGTTAGTGGTACTTTTTAAACTGATTTATTAATATGCATTCTTCGCTTTCTAAACATCAGAGGACCTAAGCAGCTTACCATAAATGTAAATGTATACAGAGGAAATATTACAGTTAGACAAGGCAGTTAGTAAACAATGATAAATCATGTCCTTTCTCCCCTCTGTTGTACATTTATTCTCATGCATATATACATAATGGGTTGGTTCACACATAACACCATGCCATGGTTTGTTTAACAAACAATCAGTTGTTTCACAGATGATGAAATAAACCATGGCTTGCATCTCCAAAGTTTGTTTTTGTTTTGCTGCAGCTCCTGCATCAAGCCTTTGTAGCTCTGTGAGCTTCTTGGGTGACGGGCCAAAAAAACTATGGTTAATGAAGTGTGCTTGGCTCACATCGTACTTAAACCAAGGGTCATAAGCAAAACAGCAAACCATGGCAAAAGTGTGTACACTTGTTGCTTTGCACAACTCGCCTATTGTGCACAGATCAACTTGACGGCAAATCGTTTTCTTTGTTAGGATTGTTTATTTGCACTCAGAAAATTTCAAGACTCTGAAATAATGATGTCCCACTTAATAAGCAGCCATTTTTAAAGGATAGCTTCTCTGCCCTTTCCCTACAAGTCATGGCAGTCATGCATATACAAAATTCAAAATGCGGAATGATTTGAAAGCATAAATTCATGCAAGCAGATATGTACCGCCTGTAAATCGCTTAATCCCTGGTTAAAATCTCTCCTTAGCCACTTGGTGGCCTTAGCAAAACCATTCTCCCTCTGGCTTAAGTGCAACATATGGTTATTTCGACCCCAACCTTCTGGTGTTGATGTGCCACTCAGGGAAGTTTACAACAATTTAAAACTGTGGTGTCAAAGTGCACAAAAAAGGCATAAAACTACAACAGAGCTGGGGACATAAGTAAAACATTACCTTTTCAGTGGATATTTACCCCCAGCCTTCCAAAGCAGGTTTTGAGGGTGGAACAGGGACTGCTTGGGGGAGAAGGGGCGATTTCCATTCTGCAGACAGACGTCTCTTGCAGTAGCAGGACAGGAAAGTTGGATACTGCCCAATATTTTTTTTAAGAGTTATTAGTTTTTTTTTGCCACATGCAGGCTCATAAAGGTTTAATCAATGCAACCAATTATTTAAGGTAACAGAAAATAAGGGGAAATGCCACTTTTAAAATGATGTCTGCCACATTGTGACAGCTGAGCAGATCTGAGTCTGGTCAGTGTCCAGATTGGAGACACTTGGACCATCAAGAAGGCTGATTGCCAAAGAATTGATGCTTTTGAATTATGGTGCTGGAGGAGACTCTTGAGAGTCCCATGGACTGCAAGAAGATCAAACCTCTCCATTCTTAAGGATATCAGCCCTGAGTGCTCACTGGAAGGACAGTTCCTGATGCTGAGATTCCAATACTTTGGCCACCTCATGAGAAGAGAAGACTCCTGGAAAAGACCCTAATATTGGGAAAGATGGAGGGCACAAGGAGAAGGGAACGACGGAGGACGAGATGGTTGGACAGTGTTCTTGAAGCTACCAGCATGAGTTTGACCAAACTGCGGGAGGCAGTGGAAGACAGGAGTGCCTGGCGTGCTCTGGTCCATGAGGTCATGAAGAGTTGGACACGACTAAACAACTAAACAACAACAATACTGTACGTTTCCATGTATAACATGCCCCCTTTTGGGGGGACTCCAATTTCAGAAAATTGCCCAAAATTGTTGAGCTGTTTTTTGGGGAGGATTGGAGTTGTTCAGCTTTTGGGGGGGGTGTGCAGTAGATCACTAACCCGATGGTTGCAGTCGCTCGCCCGACTCGCTAACAATCGCTCATGTCTGCTACAAGCATCTGCCCGATCGCCAACAGCAGAAGTAAATAGCAAGCACAATTGCCACAGCAGCAGCCAATCCTCAGCAGCCCTTGACACAGCAACCAATCACACAGCCATTTCCCACAGCCAATACAAAGAAACCCTTGCTGCAGCCACCAATCACACTACTAATTGCCAGTGACAGTCTGCAGCTCACAGCTACAACCAATCACCCGTCACCCATACCCACTACCTGTGTATAAGATGCCCCCAGTTTTTCAACCTTATTTTTCAGTAAAAAAAACACCCTGGTTTTATACACAGAAAATTACAGTAAATGCATTTAAAATACAGTGGTACCTCAGGTTACATACGCTTCAGGTTACAGACTCCGCTAACCAGAAATAATACCTTGGGTTAAGAACTTTGCTTCAGGATGACAACAGAAATTGTGCAGTGGCGGCACAGCAGCAGCGGGAGGCCCCATTAGCTAAAGTGGTGCTTCAGGTTAAGAATAGTTTCAGGTTAAGAACGGATCTCCAGAACGAATTAAGTACTTAACCCGAGGTACCACTGTATAGGGTTTTTTGTAAGTGCTCGTTTTGCTGCTATCAATAAGTCTGTAATCAATGTTGACACTATTCAGGGGGTCTGTTCACTGACGATGATGATGAAAAAAAGAAGAGAACTCTGAAGACATTTGAAGCACTTGGGACCTTGTTGTTAAATATATTAAAGAAAAGTTGGGAATTTCAGGGTCAGGAATCAATTTCAATAAAAGAATTAGTTCTGCTTCCCAACAATCCATGGTCACTCTTTTAAGTTATCAAAAGTTGTTACTCTGTTGTTCTGACAGAACAATTGGTCAAATATTCAGTTCACTCCGTGGAGCTTGAGACTCTTATTTTCAGGGCTGTGGGTTTGAGCTCCATGTTGGGCAAAAAGGGTTGGACTAAATGACCCTCGTGGCCCCTTCCAACTCTACAATTCTATGAATTACTGCAACCAGTTACTATTATTTTAAACCCAGAGCGATGTTTTCAAGCAGTGCTTCTGGGGTATTGACATGTAATCCCAGCCTTCATAATATTTTAGCATAATATGCGCTTGCATGGATGCCCAACCCTTGCCTTCAGATGCAGAACTAACAGCACCATCCTATATACGTTTCTTCAGAAGTCAATATCACTGAGTTCACTGGGACTTACTCCCAGCTAAGCACGCCTATAACTGCAGCCTAAATGCCAGTTTGATGTCCATTCCTTGCAACCTATATCCCCGGGAAGAACTTTCCTGCAGCTTCTTAGCACACTGATTGGTGACTGGTCAAATACCAAACAGATTATAAGATTTATTTTTTAAATTCTGTCCAGCACAAGGACTGCTATTAAAGTGCTTTATTGATTTTGTTCTGTCCAAAATAGATCCATCGCTGTGCTAACTCTCCATTGCTAACCAATCCTGCCAGATATATTATTCTGCATTCCTTGATGTCAAGGCCATTGAC